GACAATGTATGGCTTCACATCAATGGCCTCGAGCGGCTCCGACAGCTCGACCTGATCAGGAACCGTGTCGATCATGCGCGTGAAGATGTTCGCGCATCGCTTTTCGAACGTCGACGAGTGGCAGGCCAGCTCGCTGATGGTCTTATTACCGTCGGAGCTGAAGATCCGCTTGTCCGAGTTGAGGCTGTTGTTCCTGCCGACGACGAGCGGGTTCTTGGTGACGCCGAAGACGTACTCCTTGGCGATGCGGTTGTCGAACTTGTTGGTCGTATCATCAAAGTTCACCACCGTGTCGTTCCAGATGCTGCTGTCTCCCTCCACAATCTGCGGGTGGTTGTTGCTGTGCACGCCGCCAAGCGAATGGCCGCAGGCGACGAGCGTGATCATGTCCTGCTGGCTGAGGCCGGCCGTCGCGAACCGCGCCATGGTGGTGCCGATCGACGTGTCGGCTTCGGGCACACCCGCGGGGCCGGCCTGCGCGGCATCCTTTCGACCGTGTCGGAAGGGGATCTTCGTCTGCGCCCCACAGCCGGCGTGCGAGACGACAACGCTCATGGCGAGGAGATCCGCCGCCGAGGCCCGGGACGAATACAGGTAGTTGAAGAAGTTGAACGTGTTGTTGAAGGCGAGGCCACCATTTTCGGCACGGTTCAGCTCGAACCAGATGGACCCGTCAAGACCGCCGGTACCAGCCCCGACATCATGCGTGATCATGTCGTGGAACGCCGTTCGAATCCATTCGGCTGCGTTCTGGCGTCCCTTGACGTTGCCGCCCTGGGTGCAGGGTGTCACACCTAGTGTCCAACGTCAGTCATCTTGTACAGGTGTCCAGCTCGTGTTCAACAGCAACTCCTTACCGGCGACAAAGTTGCGCGCCAGATATCCGCTCTGCAGGTAAAGAATATCCTCCAGCTCATCATGAGGAGACGGCCAGACGTATGCGTCACCTGCTGCCAACGCAATGAGCGGCGACGCAGCGAAAAGAGCAAGGCTTTGGGTCTTCATTGCCACTTTCGGACAAAAGGACGTAGCTCGTGAATCGTAAGTCGTAAGAGAACACACACAAACACACAGTGAAGATCACAAAAGTCACTGCATCTCCAGAACCCTGGCAGCCCGCTCAATGTTGCCATGATCGTCGTATTTATTACGGAGCGACCGATTCTCCCCGCACGACAGTGCAGGTTAATTTTTTTTTTTAAGATTATCAGATTGATCAGATAGCCCACCCGCCTCCATTTTGTTGGAGCTTCAACGGGTCCTTGGGCGACGGACCGATCCACTCCTCTACTGGTCGGCACTCCATCCCTGCGCGCCATATTTCCATACGAGCTCTCAGAAGGGCCCGGACACGGAGAATTTCATGGAGAATGGAGCGGTCACGCCACGTGCTGCGTTACCATTCAATAGCCCTCTAGGCTACGATGACCTATGTGGGCTTTTCCTGTGGTTGTGTACTTGAATATGCACGGCGTTTCCCGCGCGCCTACCCCCTCACGGCCCCGAACATTCGGCCCTCGGCCCCTGAGGCCTAAGGTGCAGCACGCCAAAACGCACAGGCAGAAGAAGAGTCGTGGGTCTTGGTTCCAAAAATGGTTACGCTGGCCGTTTCTTGGCCCCCAGATTGGGTAGAAAACCATGCCGGCGGCACCGAGATGCGGCAGGAAACTTGGCCAAGCTAGCCGGGTGGCTACATCAGCGGCATAGAAGCGTGAGGGTTTTCTGCAATGCAAAGCGCATCTGTAACTCATTCGCTCGCCGACAACCTCCGATGCCAAGTCGTGGGGAAAACATCGTGAAGGGGGCCCGGATCTCGTCCTGGTTTGTTGCTCTCAGGCTGGCCAGATGCTCGCCACGTCCCACCACACTACTTCCATGGCAGGTAGACCTAGACCTAGCGAGGCGGCGGGATATTCTCTGCAGATCCCTGGAAGTCCCGAATTCCGGAGACAATTCAGCGATCAGTATATCCAAAGTCGGACTGCTGCGCCTGTGGAGCCGACATGATTCTCATCTTCGACATAAATGGCATGAACCGGTAAGGTGATTGGTCTCGTCTGGCCACCCGCTTAAGAGCTTTGGTCTGTGTTGCTTCTGCCACTGTTCTGGCCTCCCGTGCCAAGCTTGAGTCATGCTCTGCAGTGGAGTCCAACCCTGCGAAAGAATCGCAAAACTAGACATGAATTCTTAAGTTTGAAGACATCCGCGCTGGTCTAGCTGTAGCGAGATATTACTAAATCTCATGATAATGTTTAGCTTAGGAGTAGCGAGGCAGTCTTTCGTCATTGTAAATATTCTTTACCTCGCGACATCTGGATGTCAGACAAGATTCCTCCTGCAGAGTGCGCGTCATTCCGTTGATCACACAATACAGCACCAGCCGTTTGTACTTCTAACTTCTTTACAAAAGTTGCTTGGTTAATGTGACCAAGTGTATAACTTACATTAACTACAAACAAAAGCAGATAACAAAACTACCACGATCTTATTAATCGAAATCAACATCAGGTAAAAGACTAGTCGCGCTTGCGTTGCGGAATCAAGCCTCTCGAAGATCCGCACCCCCAAAAGCCATCTGGGAATACTCCTAAACACCGTTCTCCGTTCCAAAATCTACACGATGCACCAGCTGCGCGTCACATCTTGATGCTCCACCCAATACAACGTCGTCTACATCATGCATGTTGTTTTAGCGTGTGCGTAATCAGTGAGCGGAATCATTGACGTCTATTCAAAGAATTCCGTGTACATGGCTAGCGTCAAGAACCTTACATCGCAAGCACAGCCCATGTCTTTCGCTCCCTGCCTTTCATTCAGCATCATCCTCTATCAAATTAACCTGTATGTTAGCCCCCAATCAACATAACTCAGACTCAAAGCCTAGCAGGAGTGGCCGTGAAGCCGCACGTCATAGCCGCGGCGGTCACAGAGTTGCCATAGTATTGCCAAATGTTGTGCTCATTCGCACATAGCAAGCAGGCATCGAGGCGAGCAATGTATTGCCAGTTGGTGCAGTAGCCCTCCTCGCGCGAGAGAGTAATGGAAGTGCCTGGTGCGAAGACGTGTCAGATTAGTTGGGGGTGTTCTTGAGCCAGGAAACATACCGCAGTTCTCGTGGCAGAGGTACAATGGTGTGCCAGGCTCCGGGGTCGTCTGACGAGCAGCCAGCTGCATAGACTCGGGGAACTCCCAGCCAGGTTGAGAGCGACGAGTCAGGGGATTAGCAGTTACGATGGTGGCAGCAAGGGCCAGAAGGGTGGCGTAGGAGAACTGCATCTTGACGGTGCTGATTGGTTCTTGATGATGAACGAGGCAGATATGAGTGAAGCTGTGGTGATGAAGGCAGGGCGTGAGAATCAAATGCTCAGCTTGGGTTTCATCATGGTGCCTTATATAGCTTTTTAAAGGCCACTTCTCAGATGTTCTCCCCGACTTCAAGCTCGGATTGCCGAGCTACAATGCGCCGCCGCTGTCGTTGCTTCAAGCTGGGGGCCGTAGTAAAACCTTGTTGTCAGTCAGGCGGACCGGCAATTTTGTCTTCATGACAGCTCTCTACCGACATCGCTTCTGTACGCCAAGGTGAAAGGAGGAGAGGGTTCGGTAAAACCTTCAAGAATTCTTCCTCCAGCTGCCATATCCAACCTAGCTCCTGGCTCGCATTTAAGCATGCCGAACCCAACGGTTTGCTGCGGGGTTGGATTCAGGAGCCCCCAATCAGCTTTCGAGTTGAGATCTAATCTCATCTTATCAGATCATCAAAAGCGGGCCTCGTGAGAATCAGTGACCGTAGTGCCGGCTCCTGAACCTGTTTTCATCTCGGGAGCTCCCTCCTTCGCGCCACCTATGGCTTGGCAGTGCCAGGGGATTGCCACCGGAGAACCATCGGAGCCCGTGAAGCTACACGCAGGTCACAAGAAGCACCGAGTCTGGTGGCCCGGCGCATCCGGCAGCGTTGGGGAAAGGGTAGACTGGTACATTGACCTATCCCTGAAGATGGAAACCGTCTTGCACAAAACAGTCACCTAGTATTTCGCTGTGATAGCTGGATAGTTCTCTTGAAAGCGTATTCGATGGCAAGCATCACGTTGACTGTATGGCACCCGACTGGCCTGGTCGGCCCAAAGGCTGTCCGGGTGAGTAAACTCAATCAGCCACGGAACGAAACAAAGAACAGCACCATAATGTGTTTCATTTGGACTGCTGAATAACTAGCTTCTCAGATGATCAGCTCCCCGAGCAGTGCTAGCTGCCACCTAAGCCGATGAAACTCTAGCATTACTCGTGATTATGCCAGACGGAGATAGAGACATGCGACTGTATGTGTTGATGATAAAGATAATTTTAGATTGGCATATAGTCATCCGAATCTTCCATACCGTGTTGTCGGAAGGTCAAGTAGCGATGCAGAAGCTAGTTGTTTGTCTTGTTAGGCAGTGATCGCTAGACCAGCGGGTCAAAGTAATTTCAACATGCATATTCTGCATTTAGAACAACTACTATCTACAGTATAGATAAATATTCCTAGAGGTGCAGGATTTCTAGAACTGCAGCATGTCGAATGTGGCACATGGACCGGAGGGCCAAGTCAATCTTAAATATCGCCAGAGAGTCCCCTTGGTACACCTCTAAGTTGACATTCAACAACCTCAATCGCAAGACTCGAAATTGAAAACGAATCTGGTCTGACCCAACGATTATTGCTCCTTGCCGGCGGTACCTAGATATCCCATCGATGATACAATGTTGTCATGGTTGATGTAGCTGGAGAGACCAGCTGGCACCAGCTGTGCGAGCTGAGGCGCCATGACAGCCCCCAATCAGGAGAGTTTCTCCGCCGAGAGCGGAACAGAGGGATCACGCCATCCGCTAGTGGGCCACTCAACCAATAAACTTCTCTGTATTTTCAGCACAAGTACCAGCTCTATTCATGTCTGAAGCGTGAATTCGACACCAGCTCTGAAGCAGAGACCTTGATCACATCATCTCAGAAACATTTCACCATGTTCAGCAGACGCGCCTTGCGGGCTTCCTCCAGCGTCGCGGGACGCCTGTCGGCTTCCAAAAACACCGCATCACTTCCTCGCTCCCTCGCCACAGCAGCGGCGCCAGTGACCTCTGCGGACAATGGCCACAAGGTTGTTGTAGTGGGCGCTGGCACTGCTGGTCTGGCCATCAGTCATCAACTTCTTCGGACGGGTCAATTTTCGCCAGACGACATTGCCATTGTCGACCCTGCCGAGTGGCACCACTACCAGCCCGGCTGGACTCTTGTCGGTGGTGGCCTCAAGTCGAAGCAGGACCTCCGAAGACGCCTGTCCGATCTCATCGACCCCAAGCTGAAGTTCTACAACAACGGCGTGGGCTCATTTTCTCCCGAGAGCAACTCTCTCACTCTACAGGATGGCCGCACCCTGAGCTACGACCAGCTGGTTGTGGCCTCCGGTGTCAGCGTCGACTTTGGCAGCGTCAAGGGTCTTCCCGAGGCGCTCGCTAACCCAGACGCTCCCGTCTCATCCATCTACGGCTACGACAGCTGCGACAAGGTCTTCCCCTCTGTTCAGAAACTCCAGAAGGGCGCCGCCATCTTCACACAACCCGCTGGCGTCATCAAGTGCGCCGGCGCCCCCCAGAAGGTCATGTGGCTCGCCCTCGACCACTGGAAGCAGGTTGGGCTCTACGACCCGAGCAACCCCCCTTCGTCCGCCATCAAGATCAGCTTCGCCAGCGGCCTCGGCGGCATGTTCGCCGTGCCCAAGTACGCCGCGGCGCTCGAGGCCCTCCGCCAGGAGAGGAACGTCGAGGGACTCTTCCTGCACGACCTCGTCGCCATTGACGGCAACACAGCCACCTTTGCCCGCCCCGACGGCCAGGACCAGGTCAAGAAGCACTTTGACTTCCTGCACGTCACACCTAAGATGGGCCCCCACGCCTTTGTCAAGGACAGCACGCTCGCCAATGGCGCCGGCTACGTTGATGTCGACGACGGCACGACCCAGCACAAGAAGTTCCCCAATATCTGGTCTGCCGGCGACGTCTCTAGCTTGCCAACGTCCAAAACGGCTGCCGCCATTACGGCTGAGGCTCCCGTTCTGGTGCGCAATCTGCTCCAGGTCACCGAGGGCAAGGCGCCCGACGCCATCTACGACGGTTACACGTCATGCCCTCTCACGACCGAATACGGCAAGGTCCTGTTGGCTGAATTCAAGTACGGCGGCCAGCCGAAGGAGACGTTTGGCGACCTCATTGGCTTCGACCAGGCTATCCCGCGTCGCGCTTTTTACCACCTCAAGAAGGACTTCTTCCCGTGGGTATACTTCAACAACATGGTCAACGGCACCTGGGGCGGGCCGAAAGGTTTCCTCAACTAAAAAGCGCGCATGGGTCACTGTTGTTTCAGGCCGTGTTTACGCGTGTTGTACGGTTAGATACCTGAGAATTTCCAGCGAAAGATTCATACGATTCAGTTCCCGGCGCTCCGTTCCTTCTCCGCCAGTGTATGAAATCATTCCATTTCTTTTTTCATTTGTGTCACTTTTTCTGGCGATTTGACTTATCGTGATTGTTGATATAGGTACCTATCTACAGGTAAGGTACCAGGTTATGAGAGAGGAAGCTGCGCTACACATTCCTGGACATCTATCTATCTTACATTTTGTGGTGATTGAGGAGCACCAGCGTAAGGGGTGGGGGGGGGGGGGGGGGGTGGCGTCGAGGCACCTCACCTTGTTGTAGGTAAGGTACCTTAGGTCCTTTTTTATCAAGAACTGCCGGGCTACTGACGTGGCGCTTCGACCCCCTTGCCAAACCAGCACCAGGTACCTCGACCCCACTGTCAATTCTGCCTTTCTGTGACTTCTCCTCCAGGCAACCGCGAAAGACCTCTAGATCGTGCCAAATTCTGTCACGCGCCGTCCATCTGCACAATCATTGCGAAGACGCATTATCGGCTTCTGCTAGCCAGAATCATTGATGAATCCCAACCAGCAGTGCTGGGCTTGCCGCGGCCGGCGTATACGCTGCGACTCTCAGCAGCCATCCTGTGGGAAGTGCATCCTGAAGGGCATCAATTGCCCAGGGTACTCCTCCACCAGACCCATCAGATGGCGCCCGCCACGCGTCTCGACTGCTGCGCAACCGACAAAATCACAGCCTGTTATTCGCTTCAAGTCATCCATGGCTCGAGACGAAAGCCAAAAGTGCGAGAATAACAGGCACGTGTTGTCTCCCGTGGCCGTGGTCCGCCAGCTACGATATCCCTCCAGAAGCTATGGGAGAAGGGACGACGTCGCTCCTCTGAGCATAGTTCTGGACACAATTTCTTACTGCAAGATCCACCCAAAAGTCCCAAGCTTGTAAAACAGAATCTGTTCTGATTGTTGCCGCAGATAATGCCAGAATTAGCCCGGACCTCTCCGCCCTCGAGTCCACACTCGGCTTCATCACGGTTTCCGATTGGCAAGAACTCGCCCCGACTGGCCGGCATCTCTACGTCTGCATCGTTGCCATGCACAAGGCGATCCAGCGAGCGCCCCAGGCGTTTGTAGATTCTGTCAAATCACCATCCTTTCCAATGGCAAAGAATGATCCAGGGGCGTTGGATCTCGCCATGCTTCATCACCATCAGGCATCTGCAGCGCATTTGATGCAAGCTCAGATCGAAAAGGTGACCGCGGCAGAGCCTGACGCATATGTCATCGGAAATCTGACCCTGTTCTTGTCGGTGAATATCATGGAGAGTGCCTATGGCAGATGGCATGCCCACCTCCAGGGCGCCAAAGCGCTCATCGACTTCTGGCGTCACACGGACCTCGATCTCCCGGAATCATGTGGCTTTGGCTACTTTAACCTTGTGATGGCGGACATCTATAGCACGACCACTTCACCGTCGAAGCAACTCTCTCCGTCGACTATCTCTTACCATAGCACATATCTCGACGAGATTGACCGCCTCCAGATCTTCAGCTTTGACTCTTTCACCCCTGTGCCCAAGGAGATGATAATTACTGCAATCAGTATCAACATCCATAGAGCCCAAGCGACAAACGATAGACTAGAGACTTTCGAGGGCATTGAAACCTCTGCGTCTGGTATTCTTGAGTATGCTCGAGCCTTTTCCCCCGCAAGCTGGGCAGAGGAAGCGGCGGCGGCTCTTGCTGAGATCAACCCGAGTCCAACGCCAAATCCGCTTCGAGAGGTGAACAACCTTGACAGCTGGACAGCCCTCGCCCAGTCATTTCAATCAGCTACCGTTCTCTACCTCGTATGGAGCATCCCTCCCAGTGAGCGAGTTGGCAGTACGGAAGCCGGCACATGGGTGACAGCGAGATCATGGGCTTATGCAACGTTGACGACAGCCATCCATCATCTTTTCGAACGAAGACAAAAGAAGGGTTCACATTACAAATTCATCCTCTGGTCGATGTTGATGGCAGGGTTGGAGGCCATTGTTCTCTCTGACCACGCAGAGCTGGCCCTTCTTTGCAGTAACTTGAGAATCTTGACCGTGGACCTCGGAGTGTCGGCCATGCATGAGGCGGCTGATTTGTTGGATAAGACTTGGGCTCGGTTTGAGAATCGAGAGACGGAACTGGAGCTGCATCATCATTGGGATGAAATCTTTGCGGATGCACCTCTGTTTCTCATGTAACATGAAGAATATCTGCACGATTTATGAAACTGGGATGCTGGATCTACTATCAACACTTAGGTTGACAAAGTGTAGCGGCCCTCATGGTTGTACTGGTGAGTACGTTTGACGTCCTAACAGGCGTTGAATCAATATTTACATAAACATAGGCATCAATGCGTGTTCGGGTCTAGCTCTAAACAAGACATGCCGCCTGCGACACACATCAATTCGGGATCGCTGCTCGCACCGCTTCCACCATTGGAATCTGCCATGCCTTCAGCACAGTCTCGTTTCTCCAATTACTCCAATCATGGTTCAAGATGGCCCACCAGTCGTCGAAATCGGGAATTCCCTGCCTCATGTAGTACGAACCCCCAATTGTCCACTGCAGCCATCCGATAGGTCCTTCGATACGACTAGCAGCACCTATGCGCTTGTCGCCGGTGATGAAGTCTTTCAGGCACTGGGCATACACACCGAGGTAATCTGTGCCGTTTTGTGCAAAGCCAAATTCCGAGAAGAACACGGGCGCAATGTTGCGACTTGTACTCTCGGCAGACGTATCCAGCGCATTGAAGCCACGGTTATACAGCTCGCTCTGGAAGAAGGTACAGTTGGTCATCCAGTTATCGTAGGTATGCAGCTCAAACACAATCTTGTCGGCGTAGTCAAAGTCGGCCAGGTCGAAAACGCGCGGGTCCGTCTCGCTTAGAGGGAGCTTAGCCGTGATAGGATTGAGCTCGTGGTCATAGTTGAGCCCCGAGTAGATGACAAGAGCGTCTGGATCGGCGGCGTTGACGATGGCGGCGGCGTCGGTCATCTCGTCGTACCAGCGCGACCAGCCGTAGGTGTCGTTGGCGGCCGAGTTAACGATGCGGAGCTCGTTACGGAGGGAATGAGCCGTTGCCGCGGGCCAGTTCTGTTTGGCGTGCCTGGTCATGAAGTCCAGGCTGCGCTTCCACTTGACGACGTCGAAATACGTGTCGTCGAACCAGCCGTTGCCGTCGTCGGGGCTGCAGCACCAGACGGCCTTGGAGACGTGGTTGTTGACAATCATGTGCAGCTCCGCCTTCTGGAGCTCTGCGGCGACGGCGTCCCACACCTCGAGACGTGTCGTTTCTTCGGTGAAGGAGGGATTGTGTTTCAGAATATCGCTGACAACGTCAACAGCGAGCTCTTCGCCAAGGACACGAGTCATGGTTTCCTTGATCGACACATCACCGCCGTTGTCCAGAATATCGTCAACCATCTCAGTGGCCCAGCCCATACGGACAGAGTTCATGTTGAGAGACTTGATCTTAGCTACAACATCGGCGATGGATGAGTATTGGAGACCCTCAGGGATCATGGTTTCCCCCTCCCCAGGCCAATTGATACCGGCATATATGAAAGTGTCTCCGCGATGATCAACAATTCTGTTGCCATCCGTGCTGAGAGGCCCCCGGGGCCAGGTACACTCAGGGGCTGCGAAGACAACAACTGCAACGAAACTGGCGGCGACTGTGCCAAATAATGATGAATATGAAAGAAGCATGTTTGGTAAATAGCTCCTAAAGAGATAAGCTGTAGAGAACATACATGACATGCCTCTTGCTATTCTTGAGACTATTTATCCTCCCAATATTGTCCACCTTTCTTCCTCGGGAAGTCCAAGCTACCCAAAGTAAGATCACAATCTTCAAATTCCGAGTTCGGGCCGGACCACGATGGGAGGCAAGATTGGCACTTCTCCGCAAACGCCCATGGCCAGGTTGCTCCTCAATCCTGGGGCCCCGCATCTGGAAACCAATTCCTCCACGATTCCCCTAAAACTTATGTCACTTCGCGGGCGGGGTTGACTGACCCCCATAATGGGCCCCGGCGTTATCCCCAGCGTGTTGCAGCCCATATGGCTCGGTCTATCTACCTTAGCGGCGGAGTTTTTCTTAAAAAGGAAGCTTTTTCCCACCTGGCCCCTACGTAGTTTGGTCCCTTGCCTGTGATCGCTTCTGACAATGACTTCTAAGAGCAAAGCATGGTGCGTCAAAGCTTCATAGCATTCAGAGGCATTTTTCTCCGATGCAAGCTTCAGGCAACCACCGCTCCCTGCTGACGAATGAAGTAGTGATGAGTGCCGTCGACGCCACCGTAAATGTACAGACCCCGGTCCATTGCTGGCTCCTCCGCTGATCTCTGCGTAGGTGACTTGGGAGAGCCTCACTGTAGGTTGTGCCGAGAAAACGGATCGGTATGCAGCCGGACATCCAGACGCATCCGCTTCAAGCAGGTCACCCCCAGAGACCAGGGTATGCAGGACAAGGACGCATTCCCTTTGAGGATAATAAGTGCGCAGACATCTTTCAACGCCCGTTCTCCGCATGGCTAACAGAGGGTAGGTCAGTTGCCATGTGCCACTGCGGATAGCTTTGTAGACGAGACGCCAGCTCTCACTCGACGACGCAGATCCAGGGAAGATTCCGTCCCTAGCCCGGATCTTGAGATACCTTCAACGGCTCCGAAGCCCCCGAATCAGCCAACTCCAGCGCGAGCTTGTCATGTCCAAGGGGTGGAACCATGTCCAGTCATGGCTCTCGACCGTCACTGGACCTTCACGGACGAGTCTGAGGTCCTGCTCCTGGAGCATTTTATCCAAGAGCTAGCGCCGTTTGTATGTTTGACTGGCTTATTGATAGCACTGTCCTAACCTGGTTTCAGTTTGACTTCTGCGATCTGCAACATCATTTCGCGGTCGTAGTACCA